TGACAAGTCAAAAATTGACTAACTTCTTGGATTTGTAGAAATTTCGGCAGCGCTTCCCGTAGGAAAAGTAGCTTGCCAAGATTTATACAAAGCCAAATATAAGAAAAGATCTCAGAAAATGCAGGAATTGACCTAAGTGAAAAAAAAGTTATTACAGAAAATGCAGGAATTGACATTAACTCCTATGGCTCTAGTGTGTGGCGAGCAACTAAAGCAACTACCTATAGAACTGAAATCCAGACAAACTAGTCATCCCATCCTGTCTCATGTAAACCAAACCACGAATGCAAGTACTCTCACCATCCCAAGTTCATTCCATATAAATAGTTCGTGAATCTTCAAGTTCTTAAATCCTTATACCCATCTTACATAAGACATAGAGCTGGACCATTCGCCATGGAAATAATGCCCAACTTGTCTTTATGATATACACGAACAGGTTGCACGACTACTTTTTTCTTGTTTTGGGCAGATGACTGGACCATTCGCCATGGAAACAATGCCTAGTCGCCCTGAGCTGTTTAATATCCAAAGTTTTAGTATTTCTCTGACTTTGTTAAAAAGAAAAGACAAATATGGGCAGGGGACTGAACCATTCACAGTAGAAACAATGTTCAGGTTGCCCCAAACTATTTCCATTTATACTCTGTATTTTTCCTTCTCTCTTCTTAATGATATGGCTTAACGYTGGACCATTCACAGTMGAAACAATGCCCAGCTGCCAGTTCACATGCAAATATACATAAAATACTTTYCTTTATACTYAGTTTAAATTATGTGCGTGGTTTTYAGGCTAAACCATTCACYATGGAAACAATGCTTAGCCTTAGACCAAAAATCCTCCCTCACAATAAACAAGAATTTAAACCCCTTCAATCAGACAAACCCTCAGAGTTAACTAAGGTAGCCAGACCATTCACAGTAGAAACAATGCCTGGTTCCCCAGAAAATAATCAAATAAACACAGCGACCAGGCCATTCACAGTAGAAACAATGCCTGGTCCCTCAGAAAACAGCCAAATAAACATAGCCCTGAGCCATTCACAGTAGAAACAATGCTCAGGCTTTGGTTGACCC